TTTTTTTTTTAAGAAATAAAAAAAAATCAAAACAGTCCACAAGGACTGGGCAGGCCCAGTCCCATCTTGACTCGGAAGATAGACCCCTGGTCCTCCTGACGCATAGAAGCTTGGCAAGATGATAATGCTCATGGAAAACGTACCGTAAGACAATGAGGCAGACCGCACGACCGAAGACTCCTGGCCCCGACAACCCAGTGCAAGGCATGCCTACGGACCTAACATTTCTAAAAATGGGAAGGTAGTTGACAGACAGTTATGCATATTTAAATGCCGTGATATCCCAGCCAACGGAAACTTGATGTAAATTATCCTTGCTTTGCAGCATCTAGCCACCCCTTTCCATTAGCAGTCATTGCCCATTCTAAACCCCAACTTCCTGTCACCTCTTTTACGCACCAAAAATATGAGGTGCACTCTCTTGTTAGTCGCTAGCTTGGCTGGTCTTGCCGTTGCGCAGCCTATTGTTGAATGCAAAAATACATCCACAAGCACGCTACCAAAGGACGAGGCCACCGAACAGCCCATGCCTACTCCCACCAAGCTCACTAGCGGTTCCCTCAAACCCTTCAAGCTGCCCGCGAAAGGACAGGGCAGCGTAGTTTTGCTATGCGGAGTTCACATTAATAGCAAGAAACTGAAGAGTGAGGATTGTGTTGGCACGGAGAGATTTTGCAACGAGGCTCTCTATAGAGATTTGGAAGAGACGTTTGCTAGCCCCGAGGAATGCCTTGCTAGTCAACAGCCTAAGAAGACCGCCGTAACCGAGAAGGATCTACGAAAGGACGAGGCCACAAAGCTACATGAAGATGCGGTGTCTTGTTTCGATGCTTTAGATGAAGTATTTAAGCAATGCCGGGAGAGCAAGATGGATGATTGTCGGAAGGGCAAGGCCGACGTGCAGCAGTGCAAATCAGAGGCCGACAAGCAGTGCGTACTGGAGACGGAAGACGAAGCAGCCAGATGCAGGAAACTTCCGGACACTGTCCCAGGAAAGGAGCGAGATCCTCTGAATAACCAAGCCGCACAGAAGTCGGAAAGGAAGAAAATCGACGATCACTGTGGGCGCTTTGGCGATGATGGTGAGAAAAAGTCCGAGTGTAACTTGGCAGTGAGACGCTGCGTTGGTCGGGTACGCAAAGACGCATCCTTGGAGGATTTCCTGGCCTGTGTGGACAATACACAGGCCTGTGCTATATATAAGTTTGCAGACGAGCATGATGCCTGCGTTATAAACGCGGAGCAATGTGCAAAAGAGTTGAAAGGAGCATCTGACGGGTTCGATAAGCTCGCCAAGTGCGCGAGGGACCGCACCAACAAAACTTAATTAACTGGCTGAGCCTCTCTCGCCTTTGGCCCTGGCCACGAGCGACATGAACTACGCGTCGAGCTCAAGATATTTTATTTCCTTATCTGGTTCGATTTTCTCTTTTCTTGGCTTCTAGATACTTGCAGTAGTCGACTGTTAACGCCAGCCCTCACCCCTAGGAGCCGCGCGAGCGCTCTTCATTTCTCCTTCAATTTTCCAGTTGATCCATTTACTTTGGAATACCGGTTATAGTTCCGCAGTTATCAATATATTCGGTTGAGAGCTTTTTAGAGTTAAAATGATAATTGTAGAAATGTGTGTAGATAAAACACTACGCCACCCCTTGCACGTTAGAGCTGTTGATTAGCGAGTTATTGGGTCCGTTGCGAAGGATGCATCCGCATAAACACGGCGCTTGAGGTCCGTGATACGGTAACTGCCGCTGAGGCAAATCCCGTACAATTTCGTTGTTGATATATATCTGAAGAGGTGTTTGAGTATTTGGATGTGGATCTCAGTTGGGCCTTGATTAGCTTCACATAGCCGTTGTACGGTATATGTGATATCAGGCCTTGTCCCCATGGATAGAAAGTTCAGACTGCCAGTACGTTCAAGCCAGTCTGTGGATGGCATCACTACATCCAGTTCTTTCCAGTTAGCCGGTATCTCGGTCTTCGAAGGCCAGGGGCTCTGTGCCTTGTTGAGCTGTTGGTCGTCAGTTAGCCGGGATTTCGATCTTCGACGGCCAGGGGCTCTGTGCCTTGTTGAGTTGTTGGTCAGGGAAGAATTTCTGTATGATCCTGTCGATGAATTTCTCTTGGCTGATCCAAATGCGGCGCTGTGGTCGGTCTCTCTTGATTTCAAGACCTAGGAACTCTGTCACGTCGCCGATTTCCTTGATTTTGAATCGCAAGGCAATCGACTCAGCTGTGTCCTTGACCATCTGTTTAGTGGGTGCCGCAATGATCATATCATCGACATATAGAAGGATGTGGACTCCATCGTCTCGTCGGAAGAGACAGAGTTCTGATGCAAGTGGCGCAAATCCTAGCTCTTTCAAATATGCGCGGGCTGTATCAAACCACCACAGCGGTGATGTTGGAAGTCCATAGAGTGCTCGTCTTAACAGACACACTCGTCCGGATCCATCATCAAAGCCTTGCGGTTGTTTCATGTACACTTCCTGTCGTGCCTCTGCATTTAGGACCGCAGTCACTGCATCATATTGGCCCCATTCCAAGTCTAGCAGAGCAACGACTGTACAGAAGAGTCGCACTGATGTCATGTGTGCTACTGCTGCATAGAGATCTTCTAGGGCGTAGGAGTCTTTCATTTGATCACCCCGTACGACCCATCTGGCTCGTACGTAGGGTTCAGCATCCTTTGGGCATTACTCATCATACACCCATCTGCTGTCTAGAGCAACTTTGCCCGGTGGCAGCTCAACAAGTATCCAGACATCCATCTCAACGAGGCTGCGGAACTGTTTTTCCATTGCTGGCAGCCACTTTGACTTGTAGTCATTTCGCACACGGGCATCAAACAAGTTCTTTGGTACCCGTGGCTGGTTGAGATGTTCTCTGATCTTTATGACCGACCACATCGGTATCAG